GTGTGTAAGTCACCATTTGCATTGTATGATGCATTGTGGTAGACATAATTGTAAGTGAAGAGGGTTGTTCTTCACGTGTCTAGGAGTCTTAGGATTCCTTGTGTGCCAAACAATTGTAGGTTGTATGATTGCTTTGGTTAATTGAATGAACAAGTGTGTTCATCATGTCACTCAAAGCTTTTAAGCAAGAGTGTGTCTCACTTGATCAAAGCTGTGAAGCAAGATCATGATGTGTGTTTGGAGTGTATCTCCACAACTATTTTGTAATTGTGTATCACTGTGTTGTGATTGAGGGGGAGTGAGTGGGTATACTCAGGTCTAGAGTGTATCTAGGTTGAAGTGTCATTGGGTAGAGATTAAGTGAGAAGTGCAAACTGGTTATTTGACTTTGAATTGATTCTACTAATAGTGAATTTCCTCCCTGGCTTGGTAGCCCCCAGATGTAGGTGATGTTGCACCGAACTGGGTAAACAATTACTGTGTTAGTTATCTTTCTGCATAATTTAAATGGTTAGATAAATAGGTCTGTCAGCCTGCAGATGTCACAACAGAGGTCATGACGTTGGTCATGACATTGGGACAATTTAAAGAAATTTAAATTAGTCATGGTCTGCTTTCGTCCTTGTGACATTCACACCTCAAGTGAATGACTCTAATTATCTGTCATGGTCACGATTCATGCAATGAACACTTGGTTCCGATAACAAGATTTTTTTTATGGATCTATCCAAGTTCCTAAGGCTCTCGATCTCAACATAGTTGTGTAGGAACGATGCAACTACAAAGTTTACTCATGGATTTTCAATTTGGTTACTAAACTTATCGCTCAAACCATTGTCTTCTTGAAAAATGTTTTAGATGTCTGGATTGATCTCAAGAGTGCTTTGCCAAATAATATCATATCCGTGTTTCCAATCTTTATGCTAAGATAAATAATATAAAAAAACTTATAAATTTGTCCTTGATTACTTTACTAAACTGTGTGGCCTTTGGAATGAGCTTAATTCACATAAAGAAATACATGTTTGCACTTGCATTCACCAATGAATATGTGAATTTATGCGCTTTGTATAATATTTTTTCCTTGAAGATCAAATTATCCAGTATTTAATAGGTTTGAACATTAGTTTTTCTATTATTAAAATTCATGTTCTATTGACAGAACCTTTGAATTCACTTAACAATATTTATTCTATGGTGATTCAAGAGGAAAGTAATAATGTTGCATTACTTTTTGAACATGATGACAATGTCAATATTGAATAATCAAATACTCTAATTAATGTGTATAATGAAATAAATCCACAAGACTGTGGTAAAATTCATACATCTGATAGTTACAATGGTTACAAGAAGGATACCCGTTTTTCCAAAGAAGATTTTATGCCCATGTTCAAAAATTTGTCACTTTCATAGATAATCAGTTCCAAACATTTCCAAATTTAACAGAACAGACCATAACCTTGAGTTTCTTATTCCATGATTCTACACATCTAAAGGTATTATAAATCAAAGATCGCATATATAATCATCCCAACAAAATGGAAGGATTGAGAGAAAACACCAATACTTTCTAAATGTAGGAAGACTCCTTTTATTACCACTCAAAAATTCCTAAGCATTTCAGGTTTTATGCATTTCCTATGCCACTTTTATTATTAATAGTGTTAATAGTCCATTGTTAAATAATAAGTCACCTTATCAAATACTCCATAATTCTTCACCTAATATGAGTCAAATAACGGGATTTGGTTCTCTTTGCCATGCTTCTACTTTATAAAATCGTATCTTGTAGAGCAAGGAACTCCACATTTTTAGAATATGATGTTGGTTTCGAAGCCTTTATTTTGTTATATATTCACCCAAAAGAAGTTTTCATCTCACAAAATGTCACTTTTCATGGACATATGTTTCCATACCTTGTTCAAAGTTCATCTACACACACAATTGGAAATATTCCATTGACTTGCAAAATAATTTAGCTTCTAATCCACTTAATTCTCATGAGCAAGAACCTTAAATCCTTGAACCTATCCATAATATTATTGTCATAAATTCTATACATGGTACTGTCCAACCAATTCCTATCATATAATAAATCACTTATGACATTCATTCACATGTCATAAAATCAATTCCCAGTCGGGTATTATCAAGGGTTAGACATCAACCATCACATCTTAAAGATTGTGTATTTGCTTCTTTTCATGTAGGACAAATCAATTGTCTCCAAGTAATCTCTATCCATTATCTAACTATCTTTCATATTCTTAATTTTCTCATTCACATTGTCGTTTTAGTCTTTCATTGACCGCACAAACTGAACCAAAACCATACAATGAGGCTAGTGAATTTGAATGTTGGAATCAAGCTATGAAAAATGAGTTTGATGCTCTTGATAAAACTGGAACTTGGGAAATTATTTTCAAAGGCTATAATCAAATATAAGGATTGAACTAATTGACACCTTTTCACCTGTAACAAAGCTTACTATAGTCAAACTTGTCATAGATCTTGCACCCATTAAAAGGTCTCATTTACATAAACTTGATGTGAATAATTCTTTCTTTCTTGGTGAATAACAAGATGATGTATACATGATAATTCCATCGAATGTTACACCTTTTAAGCCAAACCAAGTATGCAAGATGATTAAATATCTTTATCGCCTTAAACATACTAGTAGGCAATGGTATGAGAAGTTAACATATCATCTCATTCATAATGGCTAAAAAAAGGTCATTCATATCATTCATTGTTTATTAAAAAAGGCTCAAACTTCACCATCCTACTTGTATATGTTGAAGATGTGACCTTAACAAGCAATTCACTTCTGAATTTCAGCATATGAAAAATACTATTCATAAGGCCTTTAAAATAAAAGATCTAGGAACTCTTAAGTTTTTCTTAGGTTTAGAAGTAGCTAATTTTGAACTTGGCATTTCATTATGCCAAAGGAAGTTTAATTAGTATACTTATCTGCATCGAAATTGTGGATCTATGTACTTGCAAGTATGGAGATGATGATCCTATCGACAACCTTCTCAATATTTTGATGATGGCAAGACCAATGTTTGCTAAAGTCGGTGGTAATTACTTTCCCACTCTTTGATGGTGATAATTAACTTGAATACATCTTAAGCCTTATATATTTTCCCCCAGTATAGCTTTGTGATGATTCCCTATGCATCATCATCTCTAGTATAAGGTGATACTGGAAAATTGGTGGTTTTCCTCTCCTTTACCGAGCAAACCCGAAATAGCTCAAAAACCACAATTGTCGTTACCTTCAACATCTATAATTCACTCAATTATTTATGCATAAAAACGATATCTCTTCAATATGAATGATTTTTGGTAACATTGGTGGAGGAGATGATTTGCTAATGTGAGCACCCTTGAAAACACTTTTTTTCTGGGATTTTGGAGTTAGATAATCCATAAAATATGAGTCAACATTTTCAAAGTATGAAGGAGACCGTCTCGTAATGGACAACCGACGTATAAGTATTTCATGGAAGAATTTATTATACCATTACACGCATCCATTATCTTTTCCACCACCATGTTTTTCTATTTTCACCCTTGATTTATTTAGTTCCAACCGCAGGTTTTAGTCAACTTCTCACATTTTGGGTTATGTGATACTTATAAAATAATGCATATAATGTAGGAAACACTGTTGCAATCAAATTCATCAGTGCGGTGTCACAATCGGTGATTATTACTTGTGGCACGTTTTCTTGGTCCTTCAACGTAGTCTTGCACATTTCCAAAGCGCATGTAACATTATCCTCTTTTTCAGATTCCAAAAATGCAAACCCGACTAGAATAAAAGTCATCTTCGTATAAGTAACACCAATAATTTCCATGAGTGAAAGTCTATACTTGTTTGTTTTTTATGTTGAATCAATTACGAGCATGGTGAGAGATATGTTGAACAACTTGATAGAATCATGATGAACCCAAAATATATATCAAACAGTGGCTTTATCCTTACAAACTATGTACCTAGAAACATAGTGATCATCTTCTAATAGCTTTAACTGTTGTTGTGTCTCATATCTTGGTCCTCTTACCGTCTTGTTGTTTCGAGCATGCATGTTGTATATTTGTTTGATATTTGAAACATTTAGAGGTCTCTTCCGTTTCAAAGACGCAAACATGTTTTTCGGAGCCACCATGTTTAATATCCTATCTAAAACAAGTTCCCTCTCCTCCGGAACTAGGCAACATATGTTGGGATAGCCGACTAACTTGTCACTCAAGGCATGATTATGTATACCCAAAACCACATTAAATTTCCATGTATCATTCGCCTTACAGTATCCGTGTAATTTAAATGAACACTCGCATTTTCTAGATCTAGTATCATCTTGTTTCAACTTCCTAATTCGTAGTTGGTACATGCCACTTCTTTTGCATCTCATTGTTACAAATGTTTGTCTTCTATCCAAATCATTGTCAGACCTTTTGATTACAACGTCAAACCCCAGTTTCCTGACCTTCACGAACAATAAACTCTTGTTTATTTATAAATTGTTCACGAAGTTCTACCTCGACAAGATCTGGTCGAGCACATGGTTGAACATCATCATTCACTTCATCCAGTTTAACGTCATGTTTCACTTTGTTCAGTTTAACATCCATACTCATAATAACATATTTAAAATTTAAATTATTAGGCAAATCCAAAGATGTATATCTGGAACAAATGAACAGAGTCTGGAACTGAATCTTGCTGTAGGTACTAGAACTCGGATCCTTCTTCCTTTGCTTCTATATCGTCTTTGGTAGCGGGGATGCTATAAGCCACAACCCAAATGATAGCTCCTGGTCATCTAAGTCTTTGAAACCTTCTTCGCCTAACTCCCCCAACGCTTCACGATTCTTTAATTGTTGTCTTATTCTTCCACACGCAAAGCAGAAAGTAGGAAGTCGTTCGTATTTAAAATGAACTCTTAGATTCCTCTCTTTAAAGCGGACAATAATACCTCTCTTCAGAGGTTGTTTGAGATCCATCTATTGTTCCTGTGTGCTTCCTTCTGATCCAATTCCTCAAAAGTCCCAAGAATTCCACCTAATTTCCTCGCCATAGTTTCAGACCTTAACATCATGAGCAGATCATAGATCATAACCCAGAAGACACCGTAATGCATGTTCAGATCTGACGATTGTTCTTCACCAAAGACATGGGATAAAATAAGAAGATTCCTATCAAAACTCCATGGACCACTCCGGAGAACATATTCCATACCTCTTTGAGTTCGAGTGGCAAATATAAATAGAAAAAGATTTTTACTCATTTCTTGAGTTCTATAGGATTTTTTTAGTTTCCAAGCACTTATGATCGTCGTCATGAAAGCTCGAGCGTTGAAATTATTATCCGTCCATAGCTTGCCTGCCAAAATACGCTGAAAGATTTCTTCACCATAAACCTCATCCACAACCAGTGTCACAGCTTCCTCCTCTTCCTTAGACAATTGTATATTTTTCCACTTATCCATGGCCACAAGAATGAGAAGAGACACACAACCCACAAACAGAAAAGAAAACTTCTCCTAGAAAAGAGAAACCCTAAATCAAGAAGGATTTGGAGAAAAAACTAAAAAAACTGGGGAGAAAGATCGCCAACAAACCCTAGAAAAAGAGCAGTGATAGAAAATGTCAAGATAAATTTAGAGAAAGATTGAAGACTCTATCTAAAACGAGTGGAAGATACATATATATTTAATTTCATATCATTAATTTATTTAATACAAAATTAGATCATAAACTTAATTAGTGGAACCAATTTAACCTTAAAACATTGATTTAGATTTAGATCTGCCTATTCCACAATTTCGTCTCTCACGTCCACCCAACTTGTTTTCACCCTCCTCCATCCTAACTTGTTTTCATCGGACTCCATCATGAACCAATCAGCAATTACTATTCACTCTAGTTATGTTCTTTCCTTCTTGGCTCTTCAATCTCATTCTCCGAACATGAGTTTTCACTTTTCAACCTTAATTTTCTAGATAGACACGACTTTCTAGAAATACAACTACCAACCTTTATGTTGCTCTTACTGTAGGGGTTTTCCATTTTACCTAGAATTTTTATTTGCATGAAATTAGGGTTCTAGTCAATTTAAGTTTTTCTTGTTGAGTTTTCTTTGAACCTTTTTGGAAATTAATATGTTATTGCATTACTTGTTGATAATATTATGATTATTAACATGATTTTTGATATGCAGGGCAGTTTTAATTTCCAATTCAAGTTTGGGACATTTTGTTAAATATGGTTGGGACCCCTCCATTGCATACCTCAACATTCCCTATGATTACTCTTCCCAGAAACCCCTTCCATTCTATGCTATACCTTCCACATGTACCCCGGAGAAAGATAAACAGGATAACAGCTACTTCTGCTGATGCAGGGAATGTTGAACCATCAAACAACCCTCTTTCACTTGCCTCCATTAGGAGGCAAACTAGGCGTCCATTAACTGATTTTGGGTTTGGTGGTAGGAGCATTTGGGAAGGTGGTGTTGGTCTGTTTCTGGTTTCGGGTGCAGTTCTTTTTGCACTTAGTTTGGCATGGTTGAAGGGTTTCCAAATACGATCTAATTTCAGCAAGTACACAGCAACCTTTGAGTTTTCTCAGGCTTCTGGTATTTCTACCGGAACACCAGTCAGGATCCGAGGGGTCACTGTTGGTGATGTCATTCGAGTCAATCCGTCCTTAAAAAGTATTGAAGCAGTTGTTGAGGTGCCTTTTCATATCATAATTTTGTGTACCCTAACATCCCGGTTTTGCTATATTTATAGATTTTGGAGTTTCTTATTTTAGCCCGTCTGTTATATTAGTTTAAATCTCCGTGTTTTTGTACTTTTATAGATTGAAGATGATAAAACAATCATACCACGTAATTCGTTGGTTGAAGTTAACCAGTCAGGGCTTCTTATGGAGACCATAATTGACATTACTCCTCGAGATCCCATTCCAACACCTTCAGCTGGCCCTCTTGACAAGGAATGTCATAAAGAAGGTCTCATTGTGTGTGATAGAGAAAAGATGAAGGGTTCCCAAGGGGTAAGTTTGGATGCATTGGTTGGGATATTTACCCGTCTTGGCCGAGATGTAGAGAAAATTGGTATAGCTGACAGCTATTCATTGGCTGAAAGAGCTGCTTCTGTTATTGAAGAAGCAAAACCACTACTTACGAAGGTGTGATGTAATTTTCTTGAGCAAATGTGCCTGATTGGCAGTAATACATCCTCTAGAATAGACTATTCTATCAAATAACTGCAGCAAAAGAAAACGTTTTCAGTATAAAATCATTTGATCACATCCAAATTCTCGCGGACATATGAAGGATTTGAACTAATTTTTTTATCATTTAGTAGAAGTTAAATAATAATGTATTTCTTCATGATTATGAGCAGTTTACTAATAATTGATAAGAATGATAATATGATCATATACATAATCTGATGTCATCATAAGTGCCTACTTATTTATGGCACTCATGCATTTTGTTGTATGTTTGATGTTTACGTTCCTATTATTCTATTTTTATATATTCTCATACCCATATTTTCCCTATGCTGTAGTGATGTCTCAGATGAAAGCCATGGCTGAAGATCTTCAACCTTTGCTGGCTGATGTCCGTGATAGTGGTCTGTTGAAGGAAGTTGAGAATTTAACTCGAAGCCTTACACAAGCTTCTGATGATTTGAGGTTAATTTGTAAACCTCTTTGGCTCTTATTTTATCTCTAATTTGGCCTGCATGCATATACATAGCACTGTAGCATGCTAATATTAGAATAGGAGATGACGTTGTGCTTGTCAACATGGATCGACAATTGAGGTGATAAGAGTATGTGGCTACAACTTGTAACATGTCTTACTTTCACTTTCACCCGCAATGAGACGCGCAAACAGTGATGAAGAACTGCTTCATAGAATCCCATCTCAGGTGTTTGGTGAATGGATGTCCCAAGCAGTGGATGACATGGGATGAGTTTTGGTTTGATTCCTCTCACAATGATCATTTATTAACAAGAAAATACAAATATGCAAGGATGTGGACCAATTGCTACTAGAAAGGGATTCAATTCTGGAGGAGCTTAAGTACAGCTTATGTAGTGCTTAAAACCCAGTGAAAGTGCAGGCAGATTGCAAAAGGAGGGAAGTCAAAGTTGGAGTAGGTGAGATTGTGTATTTGCAGGCACAACCTTATAGGATAAATCATTCGCCAGCCGCCCAGTTCAAAGTTTTATGGTTCATATGCAGTGGGAGAAAAGGTGGATCAGATAGGTTATAAGCTATGAAGCACGGACACCTCTAAGAGTAGGCGTGTCGCGGTGTCCGACACTTGTATGACACCCGTACGATGCGTGTCGGAAAGGTCAAAGAAGTGTCGGAAAAGTCAGACAAGTGTCCACTAAAATATGGGTTTTTTCTTTGTTTCGACACTCTTTGAATCAATGGTTGACACCCGTATGATATTCATTACACATACGTTAGACAATTCAAACAAGTGTTTCAAACAAAAACTTATTTTTTCCTTTGTTTCAACACACCTTTCTACATATTTCGGACAAATCTCACAAAAATTTAAAATGCTTAAACGTGTATTTAAGCAATGTTATCGATTAAGAAATAAAGAAATTAATTTTGATTAGAATATTTTCAACTTTTTAAATTATAGCTAAATAAATAAAGCTGAAATACTCTCTTATATATAGCGGTGTCGCTGTCCTATGTTTTGACATTATCGGTGTCAGAGTGTCCGTGTCGGAATCCATGCTTCATAGGTTATAAGTTACATCTACCAAGTTATGCAAGAGTCCACTGAGTATTCCATGTGTCATAACTAATAACTGAAGAAGCCGATTGCTGCCAATGCTCCTCGTTAGGAAATCCCCCTTTCCTCATGGAAGATTGGGAGTTACAAGTGGCTCCCTTGGAGGTGCTGTGGTTACTGAATAAAATGTTGATAAAATGGAAGTATTTACCCAGCCATTAGAATACTTGGGAGGAAAGCATTGTGATTGATCAGGTCTTCCCTTAATTCCACCTCGAGGATATAGTGAATCTAGTTTTGGGGGAGCGGGTTATTATTAAGCCTATCGTTGAACATGTGTTTAAGTGAAGCTAAGGGGTGCTGGGAGAGGAGTAGGCCGATATAATGTGGACTTGTGTGCAATAGGAATGACTGAAGGAGGAATAACAGAATTGACAGGTGGCCATCGGTGATTGGACAGAGAGAGATAGGAGGAATATACAAGAGGAATAAAATTGAATGTTGGTAAGGAATAACCAAGTATTTTTGGTGAGGCAGAGCCAAGAATTGCGGTCTCGATCTTAGGGCAGCACACCCTGCCATTTTATCATTTCAGTATTAATTCTGTTTGCTCATCTTTGAATTCTCAGTTCTCCATTAGTTATGTTTTCAATTTTTCTTGTGAGATTAGTTCTCAACACTTTTGTATTAAGTCTTACTCTTACAAAGTAAACATGTATGAAAATTAATATAGATCATTCACCTTTATTAAGAAGAGAATTGAACTAATATAAAAAGTCATTATACTCTTTATTTTCACATTCTTGAAATGGTTAGTTTACCTCTCTTGTTGTATTGCAACTAATGTAAAGCATCCAATGGTTATGCAGAAGGGCACATTCATCAATTATGACCCCTGAGAACACTGAACTGATCCAAAAGTCCATATACACTCTCATATTCACCCTGAAAAACATTGAGGTAGAACCCTAAACTTAAAATGGAAAATATATAATTATTAATAAAAATATTGTTTTGCTATTTTATTCATTGCTTTTTGTTGTTTCAATCTTGCAGAATGTTAGCTCTGATATTTTGGGCTTCACCGGTGATGAAGCTACAAGAAAGAATTTGAAGCTACTAATTAAGTCTCTCAGCAGGTTATTATGAAGTCAAATTCCAATCATAGTTGGGCATAATACAAATAGTTTATTTCCAATGTTTTTCATCAATCACAACATTGAAGGGGAAAACAGTTATCTCATAGTTGATTCTAAGCTCTGGTATTTCCAATGGTTCTTGCACTGTGTCATGATAAAAATGTATCTTTCCTGATTTTGAATGAAGAGTAGAAGGCTGGTGATTGCCCTGAGCATATCCTTGTTTTACTGTTTAACTTGTGGTAACTGTTAATAGTTGTCACTTTTTAGTACTCAGTTAAAATGAGCACAGAAGAGAGTGAGAGGTTACGAGCTTATGTTATTTCTTTGATGAGTTATCAATTGAATTTGGTGATTGTTTTCTACACCCTATCTGTTTATCATCTACCACGGGGCAATGTTACCATAAATTTTGAATTTTTATTCTTCGGACCCACCTAAAATACAAAAAACATGCCAAATGGAAAATATGAAGGCTAAAAAAAATTAGAGAATTGAATCCGGACCCACCCCTTACAACATCATACCTATATCTTAGGGCGAATTCTTATCTCACCTAATGTGTTGAAATTGAAGGTGACATGAAACAGTAGAAATGAAGGTTTTAATTGGATTTTTAAGATAAAACTTTTTTGTATGTAACACGTTCAAAGATGAACCAAGAATAAAAATAAATGAATACAATTATTTTTATACTGATTCACTTTTAACTAAGTTAGTCCAATTTGCCCGTCAAAATGATTTTGTCTTAAACAACAAAGGCTTAATCCGCTATAATCATCTTATTACAGACATATAAAGATTGTCTGTCAATGACTTCTCGAGAATCTTGATTATACCCCAGTCTCTCAAGGAATACAACCTCAAACAATGAGATACAAGAAATGTGTTTACAAAATTGCTTCTAAGAAAGCAGATTAAACAAGGTTTAAGTACAATGAAATTATCACACAAAAACGAACAAAAAACGTTTTTCTATATATATTCACAATAATATCATGTTCAGCAAAAGCGTTGTGATATCGCGTAAACGAGCATAGTGTAGCGGCTTCATTCTTTCTTCTAAGTCTCCTTTATATTGGCAATGAAAAGATCCGTTGGAGGGTAGAATGAAAATTTTCACAAATGAGATGTCACATTGCATAACGGTCTGCAAAGGTGGGAGACAAAATGATATAATAGTATAATTCTTACTCCACAAAATTAGTGTAGTGGAAGAATATTTGATCGTGTAATGTATACTATTTTTCTCACGTAAAATATTTTGATCGTATCTTCTAATCTCGTGAGGCTTATGAGTAAATGTTGTTAAAGCATGTTTAAAAGGATCAATAGACTGGTTGAGAGAACCTTCAGAACCTTCTCTTTAGAGTCTTGACACAGTTCCTCAGAACCTGGTCTTCAGAGTCTTTAAAACTTGGTATTCAGAATCTTGAGAGCTTGATAAACCTTTAGAGGCTCTTCTATCAGAGTCACAGTCAGAAACTTTAACACAAACGTTCATCAGAACCGTTGTCTAAGAGTATTTCAGAACTTGACTTAATCTTGTGAAGCACACGTTTGTATCTCTTCAGAGACAAAGTGTGTTGAGTCCAAAATCTGATGACGTCACACGCCAAATCTCCAGAGTTAGAACCTGTTAGCAAAAGCTACACACTAGACAAAACCATTAGGGTACAAAATTGTTCTCTAAGAAACAATTTAGTTATTATCAAAACTAAAGGCCAGATGTATAACCAAATCTTGTTCTTACAATCTCCACCTTTTGTATGATGAAAAAACCATATATTTTGATGAACAATTTTTACTTGGTTAAATCATATAAAAACATCATAGTGAGGTTTGTAAGCTCTCCCTGAATTTTATACTATTAAAATTATTTTTCAGCTTAGAATTTCAAAGTTAGGTTTGCAACCCCCTTTGAATTTAAGACTTTAAAATAATCTTAACATATAAAAATATCTCAATTAACATGAGAGAAATAACTTCCCAGAACACATAATCCTTATTACAGAAGTAGATGCCTGATTGCAGAAGTACTTCATAATGAGTTGCCTTAAGCATCAGAAATTCTAGTTATCAGCATTGTATCAAAGTTTGATCTTTCAGAACTTATGTATGCCTTGGTTAGCTCAGACTCAAATCAACTTGAATGATGTCTTATGAGAAAATCTTTAATTCTTGAAAAACTTGGTTAACTCGAAACATGATGAACTTATTAAAAGTTCCCAGAACAATTAATCAGAGTTAGAAATCAGATTATTAAGACAAATGTTTAGGTGTCAGGATGAGAATAGGTATATCAAAGTCATATCACTCTTCTTCCTTTTTGTCATCAATAAAAAAGATAAATAAAGAAAGATAAAGTACAATGACACACAATCTCATTTCATAAAATATGCAGAAGTAAAGGTACAAAAGCAAGGTGCAGAAATGATAACAAGAAAAATAAAAACAACAAGTTTTAAAACAGGTGTCTAAGAGTATGGTGACAATCTTGATAGAATGGCTTGAAGCATCCCTTCAATCTTGTTGTTGGTCACCGTTTATTCCTTGAACATCTCATCTTGCTTATCTAGCCGCATTCTACAACCTGATTCTCAGTCTTCAACACTAAAGAATGTTCAGAGCCTGAATCTTTAGCTTCTACAATGTCATTTGTTCCAGAAATAGATCCCAATTCTATGTCTGACGCGGGAGGGGGAGGAGGAACTTCCACAACATATGCAGGGAGCACAAATGATGAAGGAACCTTCTGAAGAAAAGGTTCAACTATAATAGAGAATATGACATGGAGCTTCCTTTGAGTCTTCTTTAAGCATAAGAATTTCAATTATTTAGAAATGAAGTCAATCCATTTTCTTAAGCTGTTACACAAAGTATGAACTTCAGAGAGGTTTGCATCGGAGGTGCAAACTTCAGTGAGAGAGTTCAATCTAGCAACAACCTCGCTTTCAAACTGCAGAAAATAATTCATCCATGGGTGTGGGATATATGTTGGTTTGAAAGGTGGTTTGGTCAGAATATGTATGAGGTGTTTTGTCAGAAACATAAATGATCTCAATGTCTGAATCAGAATCATTAACATTTGATTATATAATAGGAGAGTCAGGGTGAATGGTGTTTTCTGGTTGGTTAAGTCGGGATAAAAGTTAGAGTGGAAGTTGTGGTTTGGGTGTATATATGATGAAGAATGTAAAAGGTTCAAAAAAATGATGGTGGAATTGGTTGTTCAAGAGTTATAGTGGGATGTGGAATTACATCATTTGGATTAGTAGTTTGGGGAGAAAAAAAAAAGGGTTCAAACATGAACAGTTCCAGAGTGAACTTGTTCAAAAGTATGATTGGGTTTAGAGAGAACTTGTTCAGAGTGAACTTATTCAAAGTGAACTTGTTCAGAAATATGAGTAGCGGTGGATGGGAATGATGAACTGTTATTAGCATAATAGAAATGAGTTTCAGAAGGAATTGACTTACTCGAGACCATTCTAGCAGAATGAGTAACAACAACAGTTTTGGGTTCTTCATCAGAAGTGTCTGATAGGAAAAATAGCAAGTGTATTATTTTGCCAATGTAGTAATAAGGGAAATTTCCCCGAATATCGATCTCGAGGACTGCATAGGAAACAAAAGCTATAAAATAATTCAATTGAACAAAAGCACTTGGGGTTTTGAAATTGTTTTGTTGAATTGCAAATAAAGGAGAGAAATTTGACTAAGTAGTTTTAAAATATATGAGTAACATGCTGGGGAAGGTGCATGATCTGACTCAGTAACAACCCTGAATTAACACTGCAACAACTTATTGTAACTAACTAATTACCGATTCTTTAGAATGTTTACCTCTAAGTACTTAGTGAGAAAACCTTTAATCATCTACCCTAATTCCTACATTCAAAGAGAATTATAAGTGAGATTAAGCGATCAATTATCAAGAATTATGCTGGTTCCTATAGGGTATCCCTAGTCCTAGGTGATATCTACTATAGGATGATCAAAAGAAAAGCCTTAACAATAGTGGTCCAACCTAATTGTTTATCATAAATCAAACCCTGTTGGTTCGACAGGGCAAGCATTAAGAACATCTAGAGATCAAATCAGTTATTAAACAAAGGAAATGTCATTGCATAATAATATCAGAGTCATTACTGTAACACCCTTTTCTACCCCACAATTAAAAGACACATTTATTCACATCTATTAGAGTAAATTATTAAATTTAATAAAAGCCACCACAAAAGGGCGTACATTTCTCAATAACTCAAAACAAGTCAATGCTCCGTGTACAACGGGTTTTCCCACAATATATCAAAAATTGCTCAAAGGCATCGGAATTCAAAAGGTATAATCCAAGGTTTTCCTTATACGGAAAGATAGTCAAAATAACTCAATTAAAACATAGACCCCAACCCGATGTTACACTATCAAAGCAAGACCCTCTAAGTTAACCAAAGGGCTAACAACTCGAAACTTCAAAAGTCCTCAACGGCGTCCACGGCTAAACCTGACCAACTACACGTTAACCACGTGGAGGTAACATTCAAACAGGCCGGGTGAGTAAAACGATTCATAATAATCAATGTGTGAAAATCAACATATAATATGGGTCATCTTCATATTCAACGCATTCATATCCATCACTAGGCCTCAAAGGCCACAACATCATAAATTATTCGAAATGACTCATAAATGCAAATGCAACAAGACTCAATGCATGTAGTGCCAATCATCACAGCGCGATGGACACTGGGCCATCAACCCTCCATAGATCCCCATCAATAGGATCGATTCTACTAGGGAACTGGAGCACATCAAAACACTTCACATCCACACAATAGGATTGAATCCAAAGTAATCGAGGTTCTGAACCGAAGTCCGGATGCACATGAATACATGATGCACACGTCACAAATCATCCTTGTAACAGCCCAAATTTCATTAAATAATTAATTGTATTAATTAATTGATTTAGTGGGATTTTTATTAATGTTGGAATTAATTTTTATTAAT